TGAAGTGGAACACTTCATCATACCAGCTTCTAAATGCCACTTAAGGAAGTGGAGAAAGATGAAGTGGAACCCTTTTTAAGGATAGACAGCTTCTTTGTTGCAGTCGCATCCCCTGCAATAAAGAAGTTGTCTATCCACAAAAGGTGCTCTTCTTCATCATACCAGCTTCTAAATGCCACTTAAGGAAGTGGAGAAAGATGTTCATGGGCTGAAGGTCTGTTTTCAGAGCAACTTTGTAGTACTCTCAGCATGCGATGCTGCGGTTTCGAGAACGTCTCCAGAAACGTGTGTGTGTGTTGCTAACCCCTCTGCAACCGAGTCTGGATCAGAACATCCAGTGATTGATATTGCGAGGAACTATCCACGCCGTCGGGGTACAATGATATGCTATCAACGAAGTCACCTCGCCAAACCACCCGTACCATTCATTATGTAAGCCAGCTATTCTACAGGCATAGGTTGCTGGGGACCCAGTCTGACCCTGAATCCCCGGGTGCTCGATAAAAGTGCGTGTGTCGATACATGATAGTAACACAAGGAGCGTAGAGGCGGTAACATAGAAATCAGCCATCATTTAGCTCTAAGGTATATAGTAATTCTAAAACATACTTCCAACCCCCTTCCCCCCAAAAACCCAAAACAACAACACACACACCCTAAAAATAAAATAAAATGAAGCAAAACAAAACAACCCCCCCAAACAACAAAACACACACAAAAACACACAAAAGTAACAACAACAAACAAACAACCCCCACCCCACCCCCAAAAAAATCAAAAATCAACAACAACAAACAAACACAAACAACAACAAAAGAAACAAATCAAAACAAACACAAAACAGAAACAAAGGTATTCTTGGACCACTGTCATTGTAGAGTGGTATCGGTATCGAAACTAATCCAAGCATCACACAGCCATCTGACAAGATATTGTACACAACGCATCACTGACTGCATCACTGTGCTTTGAGCAAGTGCGATCCATCCCGCTGGTTCTATCCTTGTCATTCAACTAATGTGATAAGTCCATCTGTGTGAATTATTGTTTGCACTGGTCATGTGGAATGGTCAATTGAAATGGACCCTGGAAAATTTGATAAAGTTGGCCACAATCTGAGAGTGGTTGATTGCAGAGTTTATTGGCACAGTTTTCGGTTCACTTCCCACAACGCATTGTCCATGGACATATCTCTGCGGATGCTTTCGCGTTCATTGAAGTAAAGTGCCTTTAAAGGACCATGACGGCTAGCGTGGATACAGTCGTCGATGTATTTATTATATGCAAACATCTGTAACCGACGGTGATGTTCACGCGGTAGGGTCAGAGCACTCTGTATGAATATGACGTCGTGGGAGAAAGTATACACAAAGGCCATTAATAAATGTCGAAGTCCTGCGTGTGAAAACTGACTGATTTTACCATTTGTTCTAGTCATTACGTATTTTACCGCCACAATGTCTAACAGTCACAAAATGTACTGATATTTACCGTTTGTTATTTCTGACAACTATATTAGTGGAAGATAACTGACAGTTACAGTGAGAAAAAGGCCTCTTATTTTTAGGGTTTTCAAGTATCAAACACTTGACAGTCTCGATGAAAAAATGAACTTGCATTTTACCATTGATTGTCTGTGACCACTGAATTTGTGGAACATAACTGACAGTTTAGTTAGAGGCCCCTATTTCTTTACATACATTGATACTCGGTTCTCTAGGATTTGACGAATATTCGACTTTCAGTAAGCGGATTTTCCAGGATGCAGTTCTGTAATTCACGTCAACAATAAAAAAGTAAAATAAACATATCACATTTACATCTGAAGCCAAATGATACATAACATTGAGGTCATTTGCTATGTATAAATGGTAGCCATGTTGGTTACATGAATAAAATCAGTCGAAGTTCTAATTTTAATTAAACAAAAAAAGCAATGTTAGTGTGTGTTGCAAAGAATTTATTAAGATGCAAATATGTTGATTGTCCAACATTACTATATATTCATCAAAACTGTAAAGAATTTAGTAAGATGCAGATATGTTGACTGTCCAACATTCCTATGTATTCATCCAAATACGCTCTGGTGATACAAACCTCTTCATTGCAATCTGTCGATGAGTCAGGTCATATATGTGTGTGAAGTTCTCAGTATAATAATTCACGCATTAACACATCTGTTCTGCCCAATAACTCCAATGATACCGTATCATCTGTATGGTTTAATAATATGAAACCTTAAATAGTTTTATGTAATCAGTTTTCAGGGCAACAAACACTTTGCAAAAACAGATATCGTGGAATTCCCCTGACAAGAATGTGCGTTGTAAGGTGGAGATTTGACATTACACTCCCCGAGCTGGAATAGTCCCACGGAGGACATACCGCATTCATGAAACGTTTTAATTGCATTTCTCGCTTTTATGTTTAGTTAATGGTTGAGTTTTATTTGTTAGAACCTATTTCTGGGATGATATTGCTCTCGTGAAGGGCTTTCACTGTACATGTGTGAAGCATGTTGGTATTGCCGTATTTACTGTTTTTCCGCAGACAATTCATATGTGTTATATGCCATCAGAAATTAGTAAAATTTAAAATAACGTATGATTTTATCGTCCAGTAGATATGTGTTGTGTGTGAATGAGTGCTAAGGACCGGCACTTGCAGTGATTTAAAGGTAACATGTGTAGAAAAATGTCTAAACGTCTGTGGGTGTCTTGGTCTGGAAGTTTGTTTTGCTTGTTCTTTAACGTCCAGTTGTTTCAGCTGTATGGCAACTGGATTATAAGTATGTGCGTGCGTGCGTATGTGTGTGTGTACGCGCACATTGTATTAGCGCGGACTATTGCCGGATGTACACCACAATATGATATGATAATGGTTTGTATATGTTAGCATCTTGGGTTTATGGGAAAAAGAAGTCGTTTCAGACTCTTATGTGCACAGATACAAGTAACTGTCATCATGGCATTAATCAACCCGGTTCGTAATTTTCACGAAGTACCCCAATACACCGTTTGTGTGTTCACAAGTTGTGATGACATGTTTTCGTTATTTGTTTCCGTCAAGAAATATGCATTGATTAAAATATAAAAAACACGAAAAACAACAACTAAGGGTAAATAGGCTCGCCTTTTTTAATCCAAGCGATGATGTTTATGTAAAATCGATCCGTAAAATCATATGTTGTCCATTTAATATTTGTAAGTATTCAATAAATGCATGTGCTAGTGGCTACAGCCTAACTTACAGGATGCACTTATCCATGTTTCATTATGTTAAGAAAACAAACTGTATGTATACAATATATGTAGACACCTTAACCTTAAAGGGACAGAAGAAGATGCAATGTTGGTTTGAATATATCAGAACTCAGGATACGTTTAGTCCCAGAAAATGTCAGCTGTTTTTCATGTTTTAAGCCAGAACCAAAACATGCCTGTTATGTTCCTGAATTGTATCAAAGAGTACATCCGACCGTCATGAATACCCGTGTTAGAAGTGATATGCAAGAAGCCATGCTTATGGCTGGGGACCATGATGGGATTGGGTGGTCAGACTCGTTGACCTGCTTGGTGCATATTATTACATCCGAAGTGTATAGATCCATGCTCATGTCAATCACTAGATTGTCTGGTTCAGACGCGATTATTTACAGGATATATATAGCTGAGATATTGTTATAAACAACAACAACAACAACAACAACTAATACATCAGCTGAGACAATATTGTCCCTCTGGTTTTAACCTTGAGTTCCTGTAGCCACCCTAAGGTGAAAATAGTTGCGACTGTGTGTGTTTGTTCATGTGTGTGTTTGTTCATGTGTGTGTGCGTGCGTGCGTGCGTGCGTGTGTGTGCCTTAAAATGTACTGTGTACAAACGGAAGTATACCTCTCATAAGAAGAAACTTTAATATATATGAAAACGGAAAATATATATCGTTTTCTTTCTCACGGTCAGATGATAGAAGTTACTTATGAGTAAGGAAACGGTTTCGATAATGCTGAGCCTTTGAATTCGTACTGAGTGTCGCATTGTCATGGTCGCCATTTACAAATTTGGAAATATCACCGCTACATATCACTGAGGCCATGTCCCCGAAAATGAACTGTCACAACTAATTTGATTAAACATATAAATTCTACTAGTTGTTGTCACACTGTTTTTAAATGTCAACTTTCAATAGGCACAATTATCGTAAATTTGAAAAATGCAATTTTCGAATCGGCAGTAATGCTTTCCTATCGACTTCTTCTGGGATTGTTTCGTGTTCATCATATAAAGCATCAGCCGTCTGAACCTAAGCACTTTCAGGGTGCAATCGTTACAATCATATCTTCCTCACGACCAATACTCTCCTCCGTCATCACAGAACATCCCTTATTCTTCAAATGCGATTTACCAATTCGGTCTGCTCTGCTTTGACAATGGGGGTTGGGAAAGGTTAACTTGGAAGGCGTACAAATTACGTTAAAACCTCACTACCGGGCTCTTTGCCGAGATAAATAGCTGCAAGTAGTCGTAAGGGGATCAGGCGACATATTTTTGCTACAGAGGGAGTCGGAAAGACGCTTATTTGAGAATGTGATGGGTTGAAATTTATCAATCAGATTCCTGTCTTTGTTCGCGTCTCACCCTAGTATTGAGACCAGCCTCAATGCTATCCGTCATGTTGTAGATACGGAGAGCTAGCCAGACTTGAATAGAATTTGCTACTCAGGAGTGTGGGGTACAAATAATTTACTCTCGGCGGCTTGTGCCATCGCGAGGATCAGCTCTCTTTAAATGGATGATTTATCGCGCAAATTCAAGATTATTAATTGGCTTGGCTACCTGATAGAAATTAATAGCGCCCTGCCGGCTCGGCGATCTGACTGTTAGAGTGCTGATTAGCCTAAAGTGGTAAGCCCCAACAGAAAAAGAACAAAGCCTGTTATTGGCTCTCCTTTTCCCAGGCGACTAAGAAAGTTGGAATAATTCACCACACAAAGACATAGTCAATTTCGAGGCTCTCTTTATTCGAACCATCTTAAAACAAATTATACACATCGTAAGGGGCCCTTCAGGGCCGCATAAGACCTGACATTGCGATTACCTCCCCTGTTAAATTTCAACCCTGGGTCTGGGGCGGAACTATTTTGTCATGTACAAGCAGCCATAGGGGAGTAGGAATAATTGACACATCGTGCAATAATTGTAACCTTCCGCTAGGAAATAAATTCCTACTCATACAATATGAAATATTTTCTCTACTGGTAGTGTTCCATTTTGAGGATTTACAGCATTAAATATCCTCTTTCAGAATTAATAAATAAAGCTTTTGGAACATTTATGTCTCCTATGCAAGAAAATACAAAATAGTGATGATACTGCAGACCCCTATATTGTGTTAATGGATGGTATGTATAATTGACATACAAATGGCATTCAGCATCATCTAGTTCCTAGCTCATACTTCAACATACAGGTACAATTGACTAGGAAACATTGTTTCAATAATATCATTAACAATAAACTTAATTTCATTTAAATACTATACACTTAAATCATCTTTGTACATTTCAATAGAAATCCACACAGAGGACGTGAAATGTAAATATTTCATATTACATCACGCATTATCGCTAATCGGGTCAGAAATATACAACTGTCAATCAAACGAGAAGAAACAACAAAGGCTAAATCTGACATCAATCTTAACTGAAATACATTTTGGTTATGGTGAATGTACAATAGTTTACCCTTTAAAACATGCTAGTAGTGGCCATATGATCAAGATATTGACAAGGTTACATTTCAGAAAGATAAGTTATAGAAGATGTGTTGTTGGAAGACTCTGGCTGATATTGATTACATACATTCAGTATGTCATCACTCGAGGTTGCCGTTGTAGGAATTGATTGAAATCTACACAAGTTGTCAATATCACATTGGCGAGACACAACCCGTTTACAGTTTGTAAACGACTCGCTTTAAAAGAACGATGCTTTAACTAAACAGAATTGTTTGTGAAAACGTAACTTGAATTATCTTTGACAAAATACATAGTCATGAAATGAAAATCACAGATTTCAGACTAATAAGCATATGTGATATTGATTTATAAATCTATATGATAATGTTGGAAGTGTATAAGACTTCCTATGAGTAAACAGAACAGAGACATAACAAAAAGATATAAAAGTAAACAAAAGTCCGGCTTATGCTATAAGCTGTCAACACACACAGGTGTTTGTGTAGGGGAATGCTAAACTAAATATATTGCGCCTCGACTAACAGGTTGACATCGATTTATAACTCGTGTTCCAGCGTCAAAACAAGATTACACATGTAACCCTACGTTTGGGAACGGATTGCACTTTGAATACATATAATTGGTAAATTATCTGAAAAAATATGATTTGAGTCACACATTAATATTATTTGTTTCTTTGGGTTAATACAGAACCAAACAAATCAATGTTATGAAAAACAATCAATTTCAACGATTGGTATTCATAATAATATGTTGTCACAGAATGTGTTCCATTTTGCAGTTTCCACATTCAACGTAATAGGCTCACGATTTATCAACCGAAGTCAACCCTTGCGACAGTCGTCAATACTACTAGTCATACAACTGCTGTCGGATGTTAATGTCTCAAGTATAATTTGTCTGCACACTGGCAAGGATTTCAATAATCGACACTACATCACGGTGATTGCAAAATTAAACAAATGATTACCTCTTCAACTTGAGGGAGAATTAATTGATTTCAAGACAAAAGCCGCCCGATATTTAGGCGGTCGCTTGGCAAATGGTGGACAGTTGGACTTGATACCCAATCATAGAATATTTCGATACTAATCTCCGGACAAATGCTTATTGAACCAGGGAAATTATACCCGGTTTGCAACGGTCGTTTTATGATCCGAATTGTTTTCATTGACATAATTCAGTTTGCAGGGATCATTAGAGTCAATTGTTATTCAAATGGTTGTTAACAACAAATCAATTTTTACAAATTTATCAATAGCACTTTGAAAGAGTGCCTATCGTGATCGGATGTATTTATGACATCATTATCGATCAAACATGGCTTCTCCGACTTTGTCAATTTTCTCAAACAAAGTCCATACATAAATGTATGAAACGAAATACGTATGCTTATAATAGTAGCACAGGTTGTCGTGCGGTAGGTAGTATGGTAGGTTTATAAAACAAACCTCTGTCAGTATGTTGTCGATGAAAAGTGATGTTTTAAACCAAGAAAATATTATACAAAAAATACAAAAGGATCGTTTAAGAGATTTTAAATATTATTTGACGGACAAGAAAAGAATCAAACATCGATATTTGTTACTGAAAGAATCATATACATTACAAAGTTGTAATAGAAATATTATAATTAATGTGTTAGAATAATAGGTTAAATTTTAATGACACAAGATTAAGTTACTTTCTTGGTTTCGTGACATTGTGGTTCTCAGTGTGTGTCCATCTTGCTAGGGTCAGCGAAACGATCATTCTGTATTCAAGTGATAAATCATGGCTGTCTGTTAGAAATCGTGTGGTACAGATAACTTCTTAGCTACAGAATAAATGACTTGACTATGCAAACACCCTTTCCCTCAGCCGGTTGCCGGGTTTAAAGATTTGTTCTTTCCAACAATGTTATCTTGCACTGGTGCCATGGATTTCCATCGCAGAGGCGATGTGTTCCTGGTTTGAACACCACCCTTCAGAAATACAAGCCGTATACAACGCCTAGGCGAATAAAGTCGACACACGGCTGTTCACTTAAACTTAAGTTTGTAGACATAAAAATGTTGTTCTAAATGGTTTGAAAGTGAATTTTAAGTTAAATTCAAGATAAATATTACAAATGAAAGAGTACGAAATATATTTTTTTATTGTTAGACAACACACCTAACTGCAACCTGCGCGCCGATAGTGGTTTGGAATTCTTTCCATTTGCCCTTATCCTGATAAATAGCCGGCGGATGAAAACGTCGACTTTCCCTGTCAATGCCAGGTGATGTATAGCATGCTATTGACATCCAGCTCTATGGCAGAAAAGCGATCTGACTGTTCAATGCAGGGTGGGGTTTTTGAGAAAGGTCAGTAGGTCAAATTCGTTTCCCAACAACCTTTGCGTCACATGGCTTAAGAGCTAGCAAACTCAACCGCTGATGATAATGTTTGTCGCCGGGTTATATGAATTGTGTTTATAGCAGTTATAACCATATATTTGACTTTATCCTTTGCAAAAGGGCCGGGAGCGAGGGTATTGGTGAACCTATGTGGCTACAGCTGAAGGGTAAAGGTCACGGCATCAGTTCGGTGACCGGAAGTTCTATACGAGAGGACATAGCAATACAGATATGTTGGCAACACACCGTTACTAAGTAACAACGTACACCAGAGAGCGACCAACTCGTAAATGTCTTCATCATGGGCATATAACTATATAACGTCATTTGCGGCGACCAGCCGCCATCTTGAGATCTATTGCCATGGCAACCGATCCACGCCGTGCCTGAGATCTGACTTCTCATTGGCTAACTTGCAGCACCAGTCACTTCCGGACCACACAGAATTATTATTAGCACTGGTAGATCTACATCTGGACAGAGGAGTCTGTGGTGTGGCATTTCAACACACGTTAACACCGTTATGATCAAGTGTACTTTCTTCGTAACTGTCATGGCGACTGCCATCAAAATTGTCATCTTCTAAATCAGAACCCTCCAGATCTTCTGCCTGTTCCTGCTTCTTCTTGGCAGTGGCCATTTCTGCGGCATGTTTCTTGCGCCATTTAGTTCGTCTGTTCTGGAACCATACCTTAAAAAAACAAAACAAATTGTGTCAAATAATGCGAACTCACACAAGCCCATGAACACACAACTGAAATGTCAGCAAGTAAACGTAATCTCGGCGATATTTCAGCCACATCTCGACTTCAAAATAGTTGTAAAATAGAATGCCGTTTCTTTTAGAGTTGTAATACTCAAATGTTATTGCAAAAAGATTGCTAAGATTGAGAATGATAGGTCAGAAGATAAACAGATGAGGACTGGTGCCAACTTTCGACTTGACTCGTTTCAGGAAAGTGCCATCAAGTGCACGTAATCTGTGTCACTAAGTTACGGGATAAGTTACCGCTGATATTTCATTAAACTGCACTCATAATGGTCAATGACCTTCACAAATACATCAGTTATCTCCCCTTGATAAACGTCATGAACGTAAGTGAGAGCGGGATGTGTCGTATCTCAGACAGGCCGTTTGCTGTTGGCAAGACCAGGCGAGACATAAGAAATGACGGGCTTTTATTTGGCGTTAAAACAGATGGGGCGTCTATTACATTTTCATATATGTTGACAGAATGAGACTCCATGGTACGTTTATAGGCCTTCGTATATATCGCCCGTGTGTGTAAAAGGAATTTAAATGGTCAACACTCAAATCCGTCTCACAGAATGACCAAGTACTGTTGGATGTGATCGGATATACCCATTTTAACACCTCTCTGTCCATAAATCCCGCTTATAGCTTCAGCTCGAGAAGCGAATAAAGTTGATAGGGACATAAAACAGGCGCCGGGCTCGAATATTGCCGAATAGTTTTATCTGATCAGGGAGAGCGGTTTTTCGACATGCCGAAAAGCGACTCTATCTTTGAAGAGCGCGACCGGTTAACGGCAGGACGATTCCGCAACCAATCATATGCGGTATAGTAGAATTGTTGTAAATCCTTTCAATGTGATATATCCGATATTAAAAATATAATTTAAACAGCGACTTGAATATGAAATAGACTTATCTCAACAGGGAAGAGGATCATAGCATGGTATTCTATTCAAAGCGTTCTGTTATAACTTTTTCAAGGGGATTTTCTTCACCCAATGGATGTTTAAAAGGCAGGATCTCATCGTCATACTGGCTTACCCATGTATAAAACAGTTTAATGCTCGGCTATCAAAATCCTGCTTTACAAATTGAGTTGCTCGATGCATTATAAATAAATCATTTGCCTCAATATATGGCGACAATGACGGTTTGTTTGAGAAAGAGGCGCGTGATAGCCCTTTACGTTACGTTTTGAAGAGATGTGAAGGGTTATCTCTTTAACCCTGCCCAATAAATTGCAAGTGGATATTTTTGTATATTAGGGCATTGTCTGAATTAATCGAAACAACAGAGAAAAACCAAGGGAAGTAATTATGATTTAAGCGTTAAATCAAACGTTCAATAATCTTCTGATATGAATAGATCGTTTTAATTCGAATTATTTACGCATTGCGTTAGTTGTTGATTAAACGCTGCCTAGACGCAGGTGGTACATTCAATCTGTCAACCACTTTCGAATGATTTAGCCTGTGTCCTCGTCGAGACTTGTATTGACGAAGAAGTACCCTCAGCACACTATGTCGACCTGCCTCAACACGAGACGTAATGATATTCTATCAAAATAGTCACCATAGTAGCGGTAGCAAGATGTGAATAACTACCACTTGAAAAGCATTCGTAGTGTTTCATCAATGGGCAATAACTGTATCAAGGCCCACCCACTTCCAGTATTAGAAGCCTAAGTTTTGTGATACCGAAGACAGAGAACTAAATGAACAGAATATCCCTTTGCAAGAAAAATGAATTATTGACAACGCTTTTGAAAAGCCAATCGCTTCACCCGACGTGTTAAACACCAACAAAGCCCAAACGAGCGAACCATGCTTGACTAAAGACTTGCTGATCTACAAAACAGGCTATGGTTTGAATATCTTGCGCTCGTGATAAGACTACCAATGAAACTGGATGTGAAAGACCGACTTGACTCTATTGTAAATACCAAACAAAAACTCATATTAATACCAGGTGTTCACAGGACTAGTATTCTATGCCCATGCCCGTCATTATTCAGCAAGCATTATCAATATTTGATAATTTGTAGTTATGGGCAAGGTATGTATTGAATTACGTTCAGAGGTCGTTAGTTTTACGAGCGCAGGAAGAAGAACAACAACATTAAGTCATGGTTTGATTTTAAAATAGGCTATGCGGTGCGCAATAAAATTGTATAGTTCATAGTGAATCATTGGCTTGTTTCGACTAATCGCGCTGTTTGAGCTGTCGCATGAAAGCAGTTAACAAAAAGCTCTAAAACTTAATCTTCAGGATAATAATTATTTAACAATTAAATTTGTATAGAAATACTCTCAAGGAAAGATCGCATTTTAATCTGATTATTAGTTTTGATATTCTTACAAAATGTTCAACCAGGAATAAAAGTTGCTGAATGTCTAGGCGTAGCCCAGTAATCGGTCGCGTTGGTAGCCAACATCAAAGTTGCAATTTCCGTTTCTAAAAGTATAAATATGAGTTGATTAGGACGAAATCGCGTCTCCATGAGATTAGATGCCTAGTTTTCGTTTACGGTTGAATGTAAATTTGGGATTTTATATACTGTCGGAACCTCTATACGGCTATAGAGTATGTACATTATTACCAGAAATGACGTTTATTACCATAAGAGTGCGCGTCCGCGGGCTAGCTAAATACACAAACATATCAGATCCTGCGTCAGCTTTGATGGCGAACTGCTCCCCGGCTTAAACAAGGCCAACTGCACAGACCCGATTACATGAATATTCACAGAAATATGAAATCTGGATGACTGGGTATACTATAACAATTATTGAGCGAATGAGTTGTGCCTAATGCTGTTTTTAACAATATGTAACCTCACGGTTCACATAAGCCTGAGATTTTGCATATGATAAAGTATATTCTTTTTATTTATAGGAACATATTGATTATCACGATTTTGTATGTTTACATATGAGTTGTTGATTGATTAGAAGTATATATCATAGTACGAGCATCTATGTTTGTATACAAGGACGGTGTACTTGGGTTTGATGGCATTATTTCTTCCGAAAAACATGGCGCCGAGTTTCAGAGTTTGTTTATACGTGAAGGATGGCAACACAGTAAGTGAATTTCAAAGTTTCAACAAAAACATAGAAGTTCTTAAGTACACAAAATAATATCATTCGCGTTGACATTTTACGCTTCGGTTTCAAATAACGAATCTGCTAAAGTCATAGCTGGGGACAATCTATTTTGTATGTACATGGATAAGCATCGCCCCGTCAAGCACAAACGCTCAAATCATAAACCAGTCTTTTTGACACAGATCCCAGCAGCCGTCGACAATCCATGTTAAAGGGAGTTGAATGTACACAAGGATTACGTTTATGAAATAACACGTGGCTAGATAAAGCCAAGAAGTGGGGTTTTCCATATGTTGTAGGTTCATCCAGGTCAATCAAATAGCAGGTTGGTTATTTGATAAAAATAATATTGATCGACGAATATTTCATTTCATTTCTTCTTTGTTATCGTGACCCTCTGTGAGTACGATGTTGACTTGCTTTAAGCATACGAAGCCGGTATCCTTATCGCAAAGCGTGTTGCGTGTGCTCTTAGTTACATATAAATACTAATATTATTTAACAGGAATGTATGGAAATTTGTTTTGAATTAAATCAACATGTGTTCTGATGTATGATATGGCTTTAGTAAGGAAATAAACATGTTTTTGATAGTGATAATCAATTCTTTGTGGTTTCTCGCAAAGACGTTGCATTGCATCGAAAACATGTTACACGGGGAAAATACGTAATAAGTATCATAGGAAAAGTGCACACATTTATGATCTGTTATTGCGCACCTCGTGTTGTGCTAGAGAGTAGACACACGAAAGTAATATCTTTTTGTGGGATTCTGAACGAAAACAAAGAACACATCCATCACAAAGATCATCGAAATGCCACGGACGCTGCAGCAACAATCATTACCGGATGTCAGGTGAAAAACAACAAGAACATGACAGTGAAATAAAAAAATACAATTGAATAAAAACTTTACATTGTGTTTACAGACAGGACAAATATGCGCTTCTTACTGCACTAACGCTCTTCTACTACACACACGTATAACGGATGCTTATTCAAGAATTTCTGGAAAAATGGGCGATCGCTAAAATGTGACAGTCAAGCTTGAAACGTTGACAGACAACAAAAAAATCTGGCAAAACATTTAGGTAAGTTCTGAATTGCGCGCGTCGTTCGGTAAAAGATACGCATGTGCGCACAAGGACGTAATAAGCGATTACTAAGTGGGTTGAGAGAGGAGCAATTTTGTTAACGCACTGTCTCTATTCGTCTCGTTTACCCTTCGTTAGTTTTAGTTGTTTTCTCAAAGCATATACAACGATACGGGCTCTTTGACATACGAGTAATATGGGCATGTGAGGAAGATGTCACATTTTTGTTGACAATTTATGGAGTTTGAGGGCAGGGTGGAGATAAAAACTCACACCACTAAAACCAACAGTGGCTGAAGTTTGTTGTAGGATGAAACCCACACTAGGCTAGCTCGCGTAAAAACCGCCCGTTCTCTTCATTGGCTTTAATTGAGTGTTAAAAATCATTTTACAAGCTGAAAATTATGCCAGCATAGTGTTAAAGAGAGTTCCAGAAAGATTGTGCAGTCAAAAGGAGCCTTTCTCTCTTGGTGGTAGATGAAAACTTGTAAAATACATCAGCGATGTTTAGGAGATGACTTCAGAAGAGAAAATATAGCAGCTATCTTAGGAAAAGTTCTAGAACAGTTGTTGCTTGAGGTTTCTAACAAGTTCTTTACAGCCAAACCAAAAGGTGTCATAAAACCTCTGGTACCATACTCGTGTTTTATGAAGTAACACTATAGTATATAAACACATTGCGTTCAAGACAAGAGCTTTTACTGTGGCGGTTCTGCGTCAGAGGTGTATCATAT